GTACGTTTCGATGTTTTTCTTTTTTTTTTTTTAAAAAGTTTTCTTACGAGTGGCTGGTAAACGGATTCAACGAAATCGATGATATGTAAGTATGATATTAAAGTATCGTAATTGATAGATTCTTCCAAGATTTTGTTCCTTAGAAATTACAGCTTTAAAGGGGCGGAAGATAATCCATCGAGATGAAATTTGGCGAGTATAATATATTTGATAGGAGTTCTATCAACAAGAAGAAGAAGAAGAAGAAGAAGAAGGAAGAAGCTTCCTTTCTAAGAAGAGAAGAAGAAAAATCTATTTTCAATTGTCTTCTATTGTCTCTAAAAAAAGAAAAAAAAGAAAATTATGTACGCAAGTTTAATAAAACTTACCCCTCGAGCATATATCTCTATATTTCATTTCTTCCAGTTTAAGGGTTGAAGGTACGATCAGCTGTCTTCGTATAAATACGATAATTAACCAAAAGCGTTGGTTGAGGGCCAGGAAAATATTTTTCCTCGCCCAACACCCCTTTTTATCGGTGTGCGTGCTCCCAAGTTTGCCGGTCGATCTCGAGATTACATATCCTCTGCGCCCTAGCAGTTAACTACATGCAGCTACTGTATCGCCACCTCCCAAGGGGGTGGTGTTACCCCCCATATAATGGCACGCTTAAACCTATCCACCGTGACTTTTTTAAACCTTGTTGCAACAACTCTGATGAAACACACGTTTTTAACGGGGGTAATCGCGAAATGCGCCTCACCTTGCTAATGAGCGCCCCTTTTTCCCCTTTTTCGCGATCCACCCCATGGTGCTGCTGCTCCATCGTCAATTTTAAAACGCGTAATTTTCGCCTGGATCCAACTCTGGTTCTTTTCTCGTGGAATTTGTGATTATTCGATGAGCAGAAAGGGGAGAGGGGTGGTAGTTTTCTTCTCTCTTCGAGCGAAGTTGGAAGGAAATTAAATTTTGTAAAGAAATAGAAAATTATTATAAACGGGACAATGAATTAATCGGAGAGAAGATTAATAGAAAAAGTTATAAATACGTTAAATGTTGTATTTTTAATTAATTCGTGATGTAAATTATTTAAATATAAATTATAAGGGATTATTCGATCCCTGTTCCAATAATAATGCACAATAATAAATTCTCATTTTGTAAAAGATTTATTATTTCAAGCGATATTTGCAAATTAAGAGAAATGTAAATGCAAATAAGCTTTCATTGTGACATAATATTCCTTAATATCGATAATATTGTGCAGCATATGTTAAATATTGAATTTAATATTTGCCTATAAATATTCTATATATATTTAAGAGACAGATTTTTATTTGCAGAAAACTTATAAAAATCGCCAGTTGGTTGAAATTGAAATCATGCATAGAATTTTTTAGAATTTTCACGAATTTTTTTTTTATAAAAACTCGATTATTATTGAGATTTTTTTTTAGAAAAATTGAAAATGAAGAAATATAAATATACGAAATAATTTTTAATATGAATTTTGCATTTGAGGATTTCGTAGATTTTCCAATCTTTCCAATTTATAAAAATTGCAGGTTATGCAGCTTTATAAAATCCTAAAAAACATTTTGAAATTTTAAAAATATAGAAATTTCCAAGGACTTTCGAAACAAAAAAAAAAGATCCTCTTCTTTAACTTATAAAATATTCAAAAAAAAAAAAAATCTAAAATATTAATAAACTTTTTGATTTAAACTCACCACCTCTTCTGTTTATTAAAATATTCCACCTCTTAATTATTGCTTCTCAAAGCAACGAAGCAATCTCTCTCCTCTTGAAAAGCTTTAACGTTTTCAAGATTTATCTAAACAATTAAGCTTCTGAAAACTCGCAACAAACAACCGATTAACCTTTTCAAAAGCGTGTCTCAAAAGCGTGTCTCAAAAGCGTCTCGTTCCCCTTTGCTAATTAAATTCACGCGTATAATAAATTTGTGATAAATTTATCCCGATGGAAGAAGAAAAAAAAAAAAATTTCCGACCAACGCCTCGAATTTACGTAAATTATTTAAAATTTGCATTAACGATATATCGACCATACAACGTGGGAGCACGATTTTTCCCGGCCTTCGATACTCTGTCACCCGTGAAAATATTTATGTCTCATCGGATCTCTCGATGGAAATCGCATTGCATGATAC